CCCCTGGAAAAGGGAAGCACTGGGAAACAGCCAGCACTGAAGGTGCTGGCACAGGGGACCCAGCGCGTCTCTCTATGGGCAACGCGAAATACACCGTCTCACCCTAAGGGCCAGAGAAGGGAACAGGAGCTCTGAGGGAAGGCCCAGAAGCAAGGGCAACAGGGGCAATGCATCATTACCTGGACTGGCCTGGACCTGCACAGCAACCCCAACAACAAAATGGCTAACGGCCACACTGGAGGAATTGGCGAAAAAAGTGTACACGCCCTCCTTTCTGAGAACATGCCAGAAATTATGTAAAATGAAAAGTGTCCTTTAAAACAGTGGAACTACTGTAGTACTTTGGGGAACTGCCCACGGATCTCCGAATCTTTGGATGTGAAAGCCAGTCTTGCAGCATGAAACACCAAGTCTCACAGCTTGTAACAGAAATGGCATGATCATTCATTCATTCATTCATACATCCTTAAAATGTGCTTGAGCATTTTTTAAATACGTATGTATATATGTGTGTACGTATGTATGTAATGAGAGAGAGAGAATGAGATCATGAGCAGCAGGGAAGAGACAGAGAGACAGGGATACAAAGGGAATCCCAAGCATGCTCTGTGCACAGAGCCGGATGCGGGGCTCAAACCCCCGAACTGTGAGATCATGACCGGAGCCGAAATCAAGAGTTAGACACTTAACCCACTGAGTCACTCCGGCACCCTGCGCATTTACAAATCTTTAAAGCCTATTATCATATAACAGATATATCAAGAAAGCACAAAGCTTAGAGCCAATGGTCCCACACAATGGGAATACTATTTGGAATTGATTCTTTTCAAAATGAAAAAAACTTGATCATTACTTGAATGTTAGGGAAATATAAACAACATAGAAAACTCTACAAAGATAAAGCTTTAAAAGCCATGTAAAGTTCCAGATCCCGGGATTATTTTGTAAACCGTTTTATAATTCCTACATACAAAATAATTTCTTTACGGTACTAGGTAAAAATTTCAAAGTAGAGCGGCATGTACTCGCCGAGGCGATTTCGAAGTGAAATCTCGACCTGCTAGCACTCCAATACCGACAGTGACCTTCCCTCTGGCCCCCACCTTTGAAATGCAATGTCACTCAAGGTTTGCTGGCTATTTTGAGAATAAGCAAATCTAATTACTCACGGCTTTTGCAAACTCACGCCACCCAGAAAAAAGTTAATGCCTTTATGTTCATTTGATTCACTTTCTATTTTTAGAGGTTTATTACCTTGAACACATGCCAGTTTGTCATATTTCTAATTTAATTGCCTACTTGTGAAATCTCAAGGCCATGTGTATTTGGGCTAATTTCTGCTTTCAGGAGAAAACCCACCCCAAATAAGTTATTTATAAAAACACAATGACCCTTGAGCACCTGGGATACATGAATCCTTAAGACCACATATTAACACCATTTTTAAAAGGCATTGAGCTGAGAAGAAATAAGGAAAAGAAAATATCTTTTATTAGAAACCTCATAAGAAAACAAAAAGAGATCTTAAATGAATATATTATTTGAAGTAAGTATTTTCAAGATGTTAAAATTTGTTGAATGATTTAATTACTGACTGTAATTAAGTGATGAAGAGCTGTAATACACTTATGAAAAAAATCAGGAGGCATCACAATTCCAGACTTTGGGTCACATTACAAAGCCGTAGTAATCAAAACAGTATGGTGCCAGCACAAAAATAGGCACATAGATCAACAGAGCAGAATAAAAAACCCAAAAACAAACCCACAATTATATGGTCAATTAACCTTCGACAAGGCAGGAAAGAATATCCACTGGGAAAAAGACAATCTCTTCAACAAATGGTGTTGGGAAGACTGGTCAGCTACATGCAAAAGAAAGAAACTGGACCACTTCCTTACACCAACACAAAAACAAACTCAAAATGGATTAAGGACTTAAATGTGAGACCCGAAACCATAAAAATCCCAGAAGAGCACAGGCAGTAATTTCTCTGACATCAGCCGCAGGAACATTTTTCTAGATAAGTCCCCTGGGGCAAGAGAAAAAAAGCAAATAAACTATTGGGACTACAGCAAAATAAAAAGCTTCTGCACAGTGAAAGAAACAGCCAAAAAGACTAAAAGGCAACTTACAGGATGGGAGGAGGTATTTGCAAATGCCATATCCAGTAAAGGGTTAGTATCCAAAATATATAAAGAACATAGACAACACCCCCCAAAACCAAATAATCCAATTAAGAACTGGGCATAGGACACAAACGGACATTTCTCCAAAAAAGACATCCAGATGGCCAACAGACACATGAAAAGAACATCATCAGGGAAATGCAAATTAAAACTACAATGAGATATCACCTCACACCTGTCAGAACGGCTAAAATAAAAACACGAGAAAAAAAAAAGTGTTGGCGAGGATGTGGAGAGAGGGGAACCCTCATGCACTGTTGGTGGGAATGCAAACTGGTGCAGCCACTATGCAAAACAGTATGAAGGTTCCTCACAAAGTTAAAAATAGAACTGCTCTACAGTCCAGCAATCGCACTAACAGGTATTTGCCCAAAAAATATGAAAACACTAATACAAAAAGGTTATGTACCCCTATGTTTATAGCAGCATTATTTACAATAGCCAAATTATGGAAGCAGCCCAAATGTCCATCAATAAAGAAATGGCTAAAGAAGATATGGTATGCATGTATGTATGTCTGTATGTATATACACACATATACATACACTCCATTATATTATATATACATTATATATATAATATAATGGAGTATTATTCGCCCATTAAAAAGGAATAAAATCTTGCTGTTTGCAATGACATGAATGGAGCTAGAGAATATTACATTAAACAAAATAAGTCAGTCAAAGGCAAGTATCATATGATTTCACTCATATGTGGAATTTAACAAACAATACAAATGAGCAAAGGAAGAAGAGAGACATAAAAACCAAGAAACCGACCCTTAACTATAAAGAACAACCCAATGGTTACCAGAGGGGAGGTGGTTGGGGGGGGTATGGGGGAAATATGTGGTGGAGATTAAGGAATCCACCTGTCGTGATGAGCACCAGGTGACACCAGAAATTAATACAGCACTAGATATTAACTGTACTGGGAGTGTTGTTCTTTCTAGCTAATTTTCACTTCTATGAAATCCCATAAGACATATATAACCAAAAGCACGGTAATTAAGAGTAAGCATTTCTTTCTCCCATGCGAGCACACACATACAAGTACGTATCCACTGATTAATCAGAAAAATATTCCACTGAGCCAGAACATTAATGCATTTATACAAAGACTGGAAATATACTTTGCATATATTCATCATTTGTAAGAATTAGGAACTTGATCACAGCTACCAGTTCCTAATTTCATATCACAATTTAAACCTAGAAGGAATTTCACATTTATGTTTATACATTAAATCACGGTGAAGTTAAATTCTGGAACAAATTCCAGTATTCTTGGTTTCCCCTACAACCGAAACATTATACCCTTTGATTAAGGTATTGTTGATTAGCTTAGAATGATTTCTTGCAGGTATTATTTTCCAGAACATGTCTCTTAGCATTCTTAGTCTTGACGTCTCATCTTTATACTAGTCTAGAGGTAAAACATATCATATGTTAAAGATCAGAGAGTCAGATGCAGCCCCTGAAAGTACTCTCTTGTAAAACATTCTGCTGACATCTTATCGTCAATAGAAAAATCATATGAAGTCTAAAATCATATGAAGTGCCTTTGCTTCACGAAAACAAAATGAGAGACAGCAAGAAGAGGCAATAAACCAGTGTTCAGAGCAAGTAAAGGACAGTTCAGTATAGAGCGAGAAAAGAGTACAGCTTCTGGTAATTAACTATCTACTTTGGAAAATGATCTTAAAAGTTAATATTTTCATCATTAAGTTCTTATGCCTTTCTGTTTGCTTGCTAATCATTATCAAAGAAACGAAATTTTAATGGCAGATAGATCTCTACTTCCCAACCAGAATTTTTTTAATCTTTAGAATAATATTGATTATAATTCCAATACAAATTACTCAGAAGACATAAATTAGAAGTATTATTATTGACATATTTTAAAAAATTGAGGTTAATATTTCAGTTAGATTAAATCAAGAGTCCCTAGGTGCTTAGGTAAAATTCCTTCCCAATACCTAATCATGAATATGCAAAGACTATTTTACTTTGTGATGAAAAGAAACCTGATTACTAGCACTCTGTGAGGAGTAAATCAGACTTTATGACTCGCAAGAAGCAGTAACAGTTTTAAACAGCATTAGGTCAATTTCATGGAGGCTTCAGCCTTGTAGTCTTGTACCTAGGCCAAAAGCACAGCTTCTGGAAGCAAATGTTGTGAATCAGATGGCACGTAGAATATGCCACTAAAAGCAACCCCCAGAGTGGTTTTAGCACTCTCAGCCAGGCCCCATGCCCTGGACGACTGGTGTGATGGAGCAGGTATCCAGGGATGACCCTCTAGCCAGTCCCTGTCGCCTCCTGGAGGCTTCTCTCCGGAGGAGCGGACTTATCCTAAAACTTATCCAAGACTCTGACCGTGGCATCCGGGAGTAGAGCAGACACTCAGCTGACTGAAGTGTGGAACATATTCTACCAGGAGGTAAGGAAATCTCGGGGTCCAACTATACTGTGCGGCGTAAGGCTGTGGGTATGAGAGTTGCCCAATTTTCCCGGTAGTTCTGCTTGAACTAGTTCCTGCTTTCCTCCTGTTTCACATCCACAACTATTACAACCATTACAGAATCTTTTGTTGGCGTTATCGTTGCTGTTTAGTTTTCATTTCATTATCATAAACGTAACTCCACGATCCAGCTAGACTTGGAGGGGAAGATTAGGAACATACAGAACCCATCGAACTTCAGGGACAGCACAGAGATGATAGGCTGTGTCTAGCAGACGGGGGTGAAGAGGTGCCTTCCTGAGCGACAGAAGAAATGGTCTGGTAGTTAAGATAAAACACAAGTCAAGTTTATTCGATTTGTCCACGGTCAGCAATCATGATCTTGTTGGCCTTGCCATTCCTGGACCCAACGCGCTCCATGGCTTCTGCAACATCCCTGCCGTCTTTCACCTTGCCAGAGGCCACATGCTTGCCATCCAACCACTCGGTCCTGGCGGAGCAGATGAAAACCTGGGAAGCATTTGTGTCGGGTCCAGCGTGTGCCGTGGACAAGATGCCAGGGCCCGTGTGTTTCAGGATAAAATTCTCATCATCAGGTTTCTCCCCGTACATGGCCTTGCCGCCAGTGCCATTATGGCATGTACAGGCACTGCTCTGGTATAGAAATCCCGAAATAATCCTGCGCAAGCAGGAACCTTTATAGCCAAATCCTTTCTCCCCAGTGCTCAGAGCACGAACGTTTTCTGCTGTCTTTGGAACTTTGTCTCCAAACAGCTCGAAGGAGACATAGCCTGAGGGCTCACCATTCATGGTGACGCTGAAGAACACGGTGGGGCTGACCATGGCTGGACCATGCCAGACCTTCTGGGGTAGTGGCGTCTGCAAGGCCACCATTACAGAATCTTAACTTTGAGGGCCATCATGTTCCCAGTTGCTCTTATTTCTATTGGCCTGGTCCACATAAGAAATGTTTTTCTTAGCACCTTTGATTTGGAGGAATAACATCCTCCTCTTTAAGAGTCCCAGGCTCAAAACTCAGCTTCAGAAAATTTCTAGAGACAGGATATAGCCTGCACTATCAGTAAGCTACTCAGCACCATGTTCTTTCTTTAATGCTGTTCCCTGTATCTCCGAGGCTAGAAGCCTGTGAGCTACCTTCTCCAGACTCTGTGCCATCGCGGTTCAGAGTGAGGTCACACAGATAGGACACACTCACGAGGCAGAAGAGAAGTCAATGCCCAATGTGGTGGTGGCACGCAGGTGCGTGGACTTCGGCAGATGACCAGTGGGAGGTGTTGCCAGATGCTTCTGGGTACGGCAGGTAGCTGAGATCGTCAGCGGTTCTTTCTTAGTGTTACTATCTGCCCGATTTCTATAAAGGTGGCCTCCGTCTTTACCGTTAATTAGTAAGCCTCCAACTCTTGTATCAGATCACTTTCTTCTCGAAACGGCTAAGGGTTTTCTGTTTTCCAAATAAATCCTGGTTCATTGTCGGCAGAAGGGCCCAAAGGAGGTAATTAGATTCCACAGCAGGAACCCTGCTACCAACAGTGGGCAACGGGCAAAGGCTCAAGAAATCGGATTGAGCTCAATCTCAGGGATGGCAACTGCCAGTGGGGACCCGGACGCCGAGCTGGGTATCAGAGGGTAGATTCCAGTCCCCGGCAGGAAGAGAACCAACTCGCTCTGGGCCTCGCCTCAAAATCCAACGTCGACATTTGGAATAGTCGCGTACTTCCTCGTCACGCCGGGTACAGCCCTAGCACAAGCAAGACAAAGACTTGCACTAGATTGTGTGAGCCAATACGGCGGTGCCTCGCTCTCCTAGCTGCTGATGCAAGAAAGACGGAGCACAGCTTTCGCGGTGCCGAGAGGTCGCTGGAGACTGACGGCAATAGTGAAGGTTTCCTGGAAGGTCAGAAAAGCACCTGGGAAAATGCTGCTATAGTCTCTGACTCACGCGTGTTCCTCTTCTCTGAGCGCTAGCTGCTGCTAAGGGCTGTCCTCTCCTCCCCAAGTTCCCCCACATCCTACAGCTCTGTACCCCTCGGAGGGTATATGGTCCTTCCTTGCGTTCTTTGAAGAATCGCTGATCACATTAATGAAACTTCTAGGTTAACTCATGACTAGATAAAAGTGCTAAACAGAAACTCACTTCAACTTTTTGGGACTTGGCTTTCTCTTTCATTACAGCGTGATGCTGATCCTATCATACCAGGTTTTGGTGAGGATTAAAAGAAACATTATATGTATAAGGGCTTTAGACTGTAAAGTATTACCGGGAAAATTCACTGCAATGTTATCTGTATAAAAATGTCTACCAAATACTTCCATGAGCATTCTGCAAAGCCCCGCACTAAACAAAGGAAGTCAAGGCCCTCAGAGCACAAAAGGATCGCAAAGCATAACAAAAGCCAAAATTAAAAACAAAACAAAACTGCTTTGTTTCTTTAAAAATAATAGCACCAGCCAAAACTGTTTGACTTTCAAAGTCACAGCTTAGAGCTCAAACAATTTCTAAAATGTGGAAACATTTGTGGAACTTGTGGGAAAACACAATTTCCAAAAGCCTTCCTCAGAACAAACCCACGAGAAATAACAATGTCCACAGCAGCGCAGACACACACAGCAGCGCACACCCATCCCCAGCGCGGCCTGGCCCACCCAGAGCGCAGGCCTTCGAGCACTTGGTGACAACACTGATCGACGGCGTTTCGTGGACAGATCTCGGCAAAGTAGCTCAAGGTTTCTCTCAACGTGCCGAATGGCAGTGTTTGGAACACGGAATCTCAGCTTGGGTTCCCTACAAGTGGGCCCTGAGACAAGGATGTGAAAGTATACAGTTTACGTGGGAGGGGAGTCAGAGAAGGGGCAGACATCGAGAGAGGTGCGTTATCCAACAAGTCACTTCTGCGGGTACTGGGGCTCGATCCCGCCAGAGAGGGCGGGGAGACGCTGTGCACCACGCCCCGCAGTCGCCCCAGCTCTCCAGCGGCTCCCCATCCACCACCTCCCGGGGCCGCTATCATAGGCATTAACACCCCAGCACTTCCCATCATCAGAAAAAAACCCCAAAAGAGCCCTCAGGAGCAGGGCTTCAGGAGGTCCCCGCTGTCCAGGGGTAGAGAAGATGCTGAGGGAAACCCAAGAATGTGACCTCAAATGTCAGAGGGGCACGGTGGAGAAACGCTGACTTAGACGGTGAGAATGCTAAAAGCTTAACACGGAAAGCAAGAGGGGTGCGTTGCCTTGCGAAGATGTCACAGGCGGCTTGGTTCAATGCTGGGGGCAGGTAGCAGAGCCAGAAGGCTTTCACAAGGTTTGGTTCATTAGAAATTGGTCTCCTCTCCCTACGTTTGAATAATACATAGCACTGATGTAAGGTGATTAAACCCAAAGCACGGACTGCAGCACAAACCGTGACACTGGCGTGCCCAGAACATTTCCACTGCTGATTTCTAGAGGCTGCGGGGGGCGGGTGAGTGTCTGCGCCCCGGTGGCCTCTCCCACCCACACGCTCCGATCCTAGCGGAGGTCTGGGCAACCCCACGTTGTCTTTAGCAAGCACTGCTTAGAAACTGTCCTGGGCGTTCCTCCTACCGCCGCTGTCCTTCATAATTCCTCATTCGAATTTCTGCTTAAACCATCCAGGGGTCTCCAGCTTCCTCCCACATAGGACACAACAGGCCCTTCTGTTGGTCGCCACCAAGCCTTCATTCCGTGACATTTCGTTTTCTCACATTTAAAGAGCTGGCTTCCCAGCAGCCCGGGAATGTGGTGCAAATGCAGAGAGAGAAAAGATCTGAATAAAATGCAGAGCAGAAATACTAAAAATAAATTTCTTGTTTACAGCAAGCTCGAGTCTGGAGTAAAAGTAAAATGAAACATATGTTAGAGACCTGACAATAATGGGCCTTGGATCAAGAGGGAAAAGGAGAAGGAAGCATGGAGAGGGGGCTCTGAAAGTGACCCAAGGGCTCGTGAATTATGACATGAATCTTATATCTGCCAGTGAAGTGACTGGCAGAATCCGAACCAAGCAGGCCAACTCTCAATTACACGAGCGGCAGAGAAATCCCCCTTCCTTTTATTCCCGAGTCTCCAAGAGATGGAAAAATTACCAAGTTCTTAAACTTACGAGTCCACAGCTGAGGTTTCAGAAGCAAAGTCAAGTTAACAATGAGATCCTGGGCATCAGTCTTCTTCCCACTTGAGAAATGAATATGATTTGCTTTGCACGTCATTATATGGGCTATCGTTACTTGATACACTTACTACGTACTTGCTGTCGGGGCTGATGGCTAGCGAGACCCACAACACGATGATGAGGGTAATGCTGGTGAAGGTGATGGTTAAGAACTGAGTGCTTTCTATGTCCCAGAAACTATGAAAATCACTTACAAGTGTCATTGCTTCAGTCTCTCGATGCAGCCAGAAGATACTATTATTATCCCATTATACAGTGCTGAAGCTGAGGCTTGGCATTTCAGAATGAATGAACGGTAGCTCTTGGAATTTATCCAGATCTGTCTGTGTATCCCACAATCATACCATCTCTCCAGTGGTGGCATTTGGAAAAGAGCCAGTATTACTTTGATACACAATCTTAAAATATTAAAGCTATAATTTTTTAATGTAGGAATTACTTAGATTATATGCCTCTAGGTTAGGAATTGGGGTTGGACATTCTCTTTAGGTATTGCCCACCACTCCCTTCTGCAAGAAGGGCAGCCTGGTAGACAGAAGAAGATGTCTGGGTAGATTTGGTTCCAAAAGCTTGTTTTCCAACTCTCTAGCTGTGCGAATTGAGGCAATTTAGTTACTGGGGCAGGCAGAATTCTAAACATGGCCCCCACAAGATTCCCATCCTCTGGTTAATCAATCAAACACTAATCTAGGTACTGTTACAAAGGGATTTTATAGATGTAAGTAAAGTCCCAAGTCACTTAACCTTAGGATGTGGAGATTATCTGGCTGTGCCCTTCAAAAGGCAGAAGTCCGTGTGAAATATGTGATAGGAATTAAAGAGTACACTTCTCATAATGAGCGCCGAGTAATGAATAGAATTGGTGAACCATGATAGTGTATACCTGAAACTAATATAACACTGTATGTTAACTATACTGGAATTAAAATAAAATTTAAAAAAAATTTAAAGCAGAAGTGGGAGAGATTGCAACCATGAGAAGGACTTGACACACCATTTCTGGCTTTAAAGATGGAGGGACCATGAGCCAAGGAAGGCTGCTGACCTCTCCAAGCTGAGAAAGAGCCCAAGCCTACAGCCAGCAAGGCAGCAGAGACCTCAGTCCTACAGCCACAAGGAACCGAGTTCTGCCAACAACCTGAATGAGCTCACAAATGATTCTCCCCCAAGAGCCTCTAGTACAGAACAAGGCCACTAAGTTTTGAGTAATTTGTCACAAAGCAATAGAAGACTACATAGTTACACTCTCTAAGTTGGTTTTCTCAATAATCAAATAGAGGTAACCATGCATACCTTGCAGCATTACTGGGAGGATTAAAATGAGAATGTACTTAGAGGGTCCTTGACATGGAGTGGGCAACAAGTGTCACCGGTGGGCTCTGGAAGTCAAGGCTGAGAGGCAACTGCACCTTAGCACTAATACAGACAAGACGTGAAATTAGCATAAAGCCACAAAGTAAATATACATTTGAATTAAACGATGATAAAGGAGAAATCGAATCAAAATGAACATGCACTCTACAAAGCTTGTAGAGGAAGCTACTGACTTATGAAATACGTTCCAAGAACCTATTTTGAGGCCAGTAGTTTGGAACTGGGTAGGCATTCTCCCATAAGAGCAATGTGAAGACCTGGT